AAACCGCGAGATCGTGACCTGAACCGAAGTCGGACGCTTAACCGATTGAACCACCCAGGCGCCCCAGAAATGTTTTTATTTATGCAGTCATGTGGACAGACCTTTTATTCTTTAGATACGCTCTTATAAGAAACACCGAATTCTTCCTTTGAGCTCATTTGCTTCGTCACTCGGCACTGAAGAGCCCGGTTTTTAAAGACAGAATCTGGTAGATCGGACCTGGGTCTGACTCTGCCTCTACCACTCACTTTTACGTTTGTTTCTCCTCCTATAAAATGGGATGATACCATTACCCTGCAGAAGCTGGTTTAGAGAATTAAAGACATTTTTGCAAAGAGCTTGTCTGTACCTGGGAGGTACGTGTATTTTCTTTCTGGCTTCTCATTTCTGGTTCCAGACCACATTTCCTAGAGAAGCCTGGGCTCTTCACCACCCAGCAATGATCTTGCAAACACTGTACACAAATGAGGACACGGTTCTAAGTCTAGGAAATCTGTTTACCTGTTCTCATTGGCCTTTTAAAGACTCAGAGATCTGCCAATATCTCTCGAGCGCATCCATGCTCTACGAACTACAGGTAGAGCAATATACCCAGGTGCCTCTCTCTGAGTTCTTCTCCCTCTTGAAGGCTCATCGGATGGCCAAGATGAGGACCTCAAAGCAATCCTCACAGGTGACGAGGAAGAAAATAAAGAATTCCTGCATCAACTATACTATGAACAAGAAACTTCTTTCCTCCTTTGGATGAATGCCTCCTCTCCCTGTTGGTAATTCCAAATGTCCTGTGTTTACAGTTTATTGGCTTTAATTCTAGTAACAGTATTTCAGAGTATGCTAGGAATGCGCTCTAAACCTTAAGTGCTGTCTGCGGCAACAGACTTAAGGGACCTTTTATGACAACATTTAAGCCCATTTACCTCAGTTTAAATGATTCTAAGGAAAATTCATTTCCAAGGAAACTCCACTGTGTTTCCACGATGAAATGATTTACCTTTACATGAGAATCCAGCCCCCGTTACCAGTTTTTGCACTCACACTGCAAACTGTTCTTTAATCACTGGAAAAGAGATGGAAGTGTGATGCTCCAAAGATAGAACTTATAATAAAACAGTAAAACGCAAAGTCTAAAAACCTCAAGAAGTACCCTCCTACCTGCACTAGGTGAGAGGAAAGAGTCTTAATGCTGGGTCCTAAAATAAGGTCAAAAACACATCTGATAATGTGGCAGTGCTTAAACTACACCAGGGGAATACAGCCTCCTGGCTACCACTAGAGGTAAATCCTACGACAGGTTTCCAGATGGCTGAGAAAAACCAGAACAACAAAATGACATGAGAGGCAAGCATGGATGCTCCACGTCAGAACCTGGACAGACCTCCTTACACAGGATCCGTACCAACGACAAGAGCAAAAATCTAACCTCTCACACGCGATACCAAAAATGTCGCCAATAACCCAATCCATTACACATACTCCATTTCATTAAAAAGGTGCCATCTGTGTCATATTAGTCACTCCCCAGGCCCTATCTGCAAACTCAGTTCATTCATTTATCTTTAGCATGCACACTCCCGAGGTGAAGGTAGCACTTGAGACAGTGGGCTTCTGACCCAGAAACCAGGTCCGACAGAGACACAGATAAAAGCCTGCTCTAAAGAAGCGTGACCGAGTCACAAAATTCATCACACACTAACTTTCAAAGACCTTTCAAGGATTTTCTTCTCCAAGAAAATAACTGAATCAGTAAACAAGAATTTCTGACCAATCCTAACCGTGGCACAGTTCCTCTATTATATGCACAAAAACATTAAGATGAAGTTTTCATTATTACTGTGAAGCTAACCTAAAATCATTGGCAGGTAGCTTTGACATGAAGACGCGTCCACTGCTGGTTCAATTCTTCCAGTTAGTTGCCCGGGGTTCCAAATTGGTTGAGTGTAAGCCGATTATCTTGGCTTACTGATAATTTGTTTTTTTAAAAAAGAAAAAGCTAGTTCAGTCTTAACGACTAACTTTAACGCCAATGTTATGCAAAAAAAAAAACCTCTTAATTCTGTCTTTTATAATCCGGAAAATTCCTAGACATGTTTAGAATAACTTTTCTCCAGTAGAAACAATCCAGAAACAAATCTATCTCCTGAAAACAAAGGTTAATTAGTCACTGCAACTCACCTGATAGAACACAGGACCGAGAGCCTGAAACTCGAAGGTCGCAGTCTCCCACAACAGGGCACACTTCTGCAGAATGTCTTCTAGAGTCCTTTTGCTTTTGAAATGTCAGTATTGTTTTATTTAAACAGGCCACAAAAAGGCTGCTTTCTTTTACTCTCTCTGCAGACAAGCTTGTCTTAGGTTGATCCTAGTGAACGCTAAGGATCACAGCACTGGTACTGGTTCCTATACACTCCACAGACTGCTGTATACAGTGCCCTGTGAGGCTGGCGGTGGGAACTAAGGTCACAGTCACAAGCATACCTACCCTCCCACTCAGCCATGCTACGAAATACTTCCTACTAAGATGCGACAATTCTTATGCGACGCCCTGAAATATAAAATAACTTCAGAAAAGTAAGAATTTTATCGTTGTGGCCCACAAACTAAGAATACTGGTTCACTATATACACAGATGTCACCTGAAGCACAGAAGGTGAAACCCCTGGGGGAGGAGACATTCTCACCCAGCACACAGAGTAATAAGGAACAAAGTTATACCTTTTTCAACACATCTCCTTTTCTCCTCCCACCCCACCCCTCTCCCAACACAGATCTCCAGATCTCACAAAAACGTAAGTAATAAATCAGGGCGCCTGGGTGGCTCAGTCGGTTTAGCATCTGACTTCGGCTCAGATCATGATCTCAGGGCTCGTGTGTTCGAGCCCCGTGTCGGGCTCTGTGCTGACAGCTCAGAGCCTGGAGCCTGTTCTAGATTCTGTATCTCTGTCTCTCTCTGCTCCTCCCCAACTCGTGCTCGCTCACTCTCTCTCGCTCTATGAATGAATAAAAACATTAAAAAATAATAATAAAAATGCAGTCTCAGTCCACCTCAACACCCTCTACCCAAGTCTACTTTTGGTGGTGGTGGTAACAAAAGCTGACCAAGTCTAATTTGGTCACTGGCCTGGATGAATACAGTTGATTTCATTGCGACGTTATCAACACTTTAATTTTCATGTGCCCTTACCTCCCCCAAAAATGTAGAAGAAAAGCCAACAAGAGAAGGTTAAAAACCTGCATCTATGCCATCATGCTGTTAAGACGGGCCAGCTGGGGAGATGAAATAAAACGCTCCACACTCCTAGCTCCCTAGCCCAGACTCACTTCCGAGAACAAGGAGACCTTTTCATGGTCTAGGCCTCTGATGATCTATTGATGGGGGTCACTGCAGAGCCCAATAGCTTGAAAAATGTATTCTCGTCAAGGCAAAAAAGGAAAAGGCATAAGGGGTAGCTGGAGCAGAGGCAGTGAACGCTGAAGCAGCAAGGGAAGGAATTCCAATCCTCGTGTCAACGCTGACCAGGTGTGCATGAACACAGACCAAGAGAAGGAGGCGATGAACTAAGGAGATACACTGATGTTCAGTCTAAGAATGCATTTATTTAGAGAGACACATACACACGGACATCTAATTATTTCCGCTGTTCTCTGGTCTTGAACCCCCACCACGCTGACTCCAATCATGTTCAGAAGATAACTGTAGATGGGTGCCTACAAAGCAGACATCTAAGCTGACCAGTTAAAAACGATTCACAAAAAATAAAAAAATAAAAAGGAAACTACGTTGGAAAGCAGAAGGCAAAGAAGTAGACACTGGCGCGTGCCTTATTCAAAGCCATAGCAACAATGTGTAAAGAAAACAGAAGACATTTTTTTAGTGTCTATCATGTGCTAGGCACAATATAAGAGCTTCACACAGGTTCCCTCCCACGAGACCAACAATGACTGTAGGAGGTAAGTGGCGTTATCCCACTTTTAGAGATGTGGCAATTAAGAGTCAGACAAGTTTGTTTAAGTAGCTTGCCCAAGGTCACATGGCCAATAAATCTTAGTACAGTAGTTAAGTTCTGATCTGTCCAGCTCTAACGGCTGTACTTATCTGTCTCGATGACACACAAACATGCCCGGCTGATGTTCCAATCAGGACACCACACGGAACAAAACTCAGCAGTGTCCCACTCAACCTGTACCTACTACCTATCCTGAACATATGAAGACTCAGCCAGGCCTCCCTCCCAGAGCCACTCAGCTCTTCTGTCACATCCCGTGGACTTCAAGCACAGCACTATCCTCCGCTACCAGAAACCCAGGAGTCTTACAAAAACTACGTTTACGAGTATGTTCTGACTCCCTCTCTGACCCTGGCCTGTGCTCACTGTTGAATGCACAAGATGATTCCTCGGCTGACCCCAAATTCTTCAGACCGGCTATTAAAGAGCAGCTGATTGGGTTTTTTTTTAACCCCAACTTTACTACGATGTCCTGCAAAACTGGAATTCTGAAGTGGACTGAACTCGGACGCCGACCTCCCAGCACCACTTCCCAGCTTTCAGGGACAAGCAGCTGAAGATTCTCCTCCAAACACAAATAACAATGCAAAGCCCTGAGAAGGGAAGAGACTCGATTTGACAAAAGGCTGAAGAGAACTCAGGCAGACTAATTCCCAGCTTTTAACAACGTAAGAAACACGATCCACAGAAAAGCAACACACAAGGCAAATGAATAAAGGAAGAGGGGGACACGTTCCCTTCTAGCCTTAACGAGGTGGGGGGGGGGTGCGTTATTTGAAGATACACAGCAACAGTTTAGGACAGAAAGTCAAGACGCCCACAGCCCATAAAACTTGTCAAAGTAATTTAGCCGGAGCTGGAACACAGCCAAGAACAACACCCCAACTCTTTGGGATACTGGGGTAGGAATTTTATGACTGTAGTGGTCAGCACTTGGGCATCAGGGTAGGGTCTGTCTTGGGCTCAGGAATTTAAATGCCTTCAACTCCTACTCACCTTTCCTTCTTTATCACTGAAGTTGGGCCAGGCTGAGCTCCTGAGAAAATAGGTCGGTTGATTCACTGAAGGGCTGAGAAAAGTTAAAGTTTAAATGGCAAAAGTATCTCTACTGACCATAACACAACATATCTGTGAATACATTTTAGTTTCTTTTCAGACCTCCTCGGCACTGTTTGAAACCAGAGTAAGTCCGACTACTGAAATAAATAACCCAGGCAGTTACAGAAACACCACGAACCAGGCAAGTCATCTCCCAGCTCCGCTAAAACGTTAAAAGTCATTTAAAAGGAAAACCTGAATCTTGTCGCTGCTAACCCATAACCAAACCTCTCAACAAGAAGCCACAGGGCAGGGGGGGGAAATCCCGGAGAGAATGTGATAGCGTTAGTGCCGGTTTGTTTACAGAGACTCCAGCGACAATCATATGAGTCAGAAATTCAAGCCACCAGATGCTTTCCAACTAACAGGGAGCAAATGGTACGGTTCTGCGGGGCCCTGGAAGATCTGGGGGTGAGGGGAAGCAAGCTGCGAGAATTGTATTACAAAGGGAGCGAGACCAGACGGCGACAACTGACTTGGACCTCGGCCTTCCGTACAAGGTGCTGGGCCCGAGAACTCGGGATGGGGGAGGGGGGCACACTGCGCGGTGGCCCCGAGGTGACGGGGAGACGCAGGGCGACCGCTTCCCCCAGCCTAAGGGGTAAACACGCGCACCCAAACGGGTCACCTGAGCAGCAAAGCCGTCCCTGTGGACCGTGGGGCAGGCTCTTGGGGGCAACCCCAGGGCTGACCTGAGGCAAGGGCAGCCAGTCCTCCCGGCGGAGACTCGGGTCAGGGCCAGGAGAAGACCTGAGCCCCGGGAGCTTGGGAAAGGAATCCAATCTATCCTGAAGGGGAGCGGGCCAGGGGCGAGGGGGTCAGGCCAAGCCGGAACGAGACACGGACCGGGTAGGTCAAGGGGGGGGTGTCCGGCTGGGGCAGTTACAAGCACGGGAGCCGGCGAGGCTCAGCAGCCCGCTTCCCGTCTTGGGTCATCCTTCTGCCAGCGGCTGCTCCGACTGTTCCAGGCCCAGCCGCCCCGTCCACTGCCGCCACCAACGCCGCCGCCATCTTACACTGGCCAGCGGCCGCCACCACCACCGCCTCCGCTCTCGGCGCTTGCGCCTGCGCCGCCACGCTTTCCGGCCCCGTTTGCGACGAGGTGCTGGAGAAGACTGAAGGAAGAGTGGTCGCGCGAGCTCTCGGCTCCCGGCCCTCCGCGGAGGACGCAGAAGGGGCGGGGCTTAGGGCCAACGGCAAACAGAGCGAGGGGCGCGTGCGCGCTCCCGTGAGGCGAAGCTGTTTTCGCGGCGTGCTTGGAGGGGCTCGCACCTCTCGCACGGCTGCGGGCAGACGCGGGGGCAGGGCCCTCCCGGACTTGTGGCTGCGGTGGAACCGAATTTCCCTTCCAGCGGACTGGAGGGCAACCCCCTGGGCGGCCTCCATTTCCGCCCTGTTTTTGAATACTGGGAACAGGCAGTGCTTGCCAGGCTCCCTGTGGAAACCCCATTTCCTTTGAGGACCTTGTTTTCTTAAGTGGTTTCAATCCCTTTGAGACCCGCTTCCCCGCGAGAGCTTCCATTTACCCATTTTTAAATGAAGGGATTCGGAAGCTTCAGATGCAGCTGAGCGCTTCAAGAGGCTGTTTCTCCGAAGGGGGGGGGGGGTGTCGCAAGTTCCGCAGAATGGGCTTGGTGGCGGACGCTGCTTGGCTCTGACACCTGAAAGAAGCTTGCAGGAGATCCCTGGAAAGGTTGCTGCGAGGCGTAGGGCATTTTGACCGGGGCACGGTGCAAGAACCTGACCCCATTCACCTCTACCATTACCATCCTATTAGAATGCATTGTATGTTACTTATGAACATATGAACGCCTAGCTGGTTTGTCTACTTCCATGATTGACTTGCTAGTTAGAAGGCAGCCAGACTGGCGGCCTAAAATGTAAGTCAGGCCACATTATTGCACCCAAAGCTTCCCTATCTCTCACACACACACACACACGCACACAATGGCTTCCAAAGAAGGCCTTACATGACCGGGCACCTATTTCTCTGATTTCATCTCCCATACTGCCTACCTCTGCTCTAGCGTTGTTGGCCTTCTCCACTCTTAGCTGCAGCCAAAGCACGATCCATCCCTAAGGGCTTCTGCATTTGTTCCCTCTTGGGATTTTCCTCTATCAGATCTTTACTAGACTTGCTCTCTCCACTCAGATCTCTACTGAAATCCTCCTCCTTCAGAGAGGCAGCTCTTGACTGTTCCAACTAGAATGATGCCCCACACCACCATCCTCCTCTGCCTTCTCACTCTGCGTTGTTTTTTCATAACGATTTTTACCTGTGACATTTAAGCTATAATTATGTATTTGTAACTGGAAAATACCATAGAATATAAGCTCTATAATGGCAGGAACTGTGTCTTTGTCACCTTTGTCACCCCAACATCTAGAAGATGACCAGAGCACAAAGCAGCTGTCTGATGCCTCCCCATTCCAACCATTCTTTCTTTCACTCCATCAGCATATACCGAATTCCTATAGCGTCCGTAAGCTCCTGTCCTAGGTCCTGGGGCTGAAGCAGTGAAGAAAACACACCGACGTTCCTGCATTCACAGAACTTATTTATCAGCGCAGAGGGTTGGGACTGTAAAGGGAGGGGAAGGTCACAAAGATAATAATATTAAGAAGACTAGTGGAAAATGAAGCAGGGTAAAAGCGGGTTACCTGAGTAGGTGTGCTCTTTTACAGAGGCGGTTCAGGGGAAGGCCCTCTGCCGAGGTGACATTTGAATAAAGATTTGAAGTGAGAGAGTGAATCATATACACTGGGGGAAGAACCTTCTAGGCAGAGGAAACAACAAGGTAAAAAGACCTGGAGCTTGAGTGGGCTTGGTGTATTCAAAGAACGGCAGGGCAGCCCGTGTGGCAAAAGAGGAGATTAGAGAAACGTGGTCAGAGATTACTCCCAGATTCATAGGCCAAGAAGATGATTTAGGATTGTATCTCCTACAGGTGCTAGGAAGTCATGGAGGGTTCTGAGTAAAAAGGTGACACGATCTGATTTATAAACGAAGAGATTTGGTCTGGTTGGTTCTTTGAACGCTGTCTGCAGGGAGGCGAAATGGAAGCTGAAAGACCAGTTAGGAAGCTGTTGCAAAAGATCTGCAAGACTAGTGTTGCAGTGGAAGTGGCAGGAAGTGACCGGATTCAGGAAATAACGTGGAAGGTGGCAGAGCTGCCCTGCTAACAGGTTGAGTCTGGAGTGCAAGATAAAGAGTCGGGCTGTCTCGGGCTTTTGGACTGGAGCAACAGGATAAACAGTCGGGCCATTTACTGAGATAGAACTCCAGGCAGGAGGGGGGAGCAGGAGGAGGGTTTTTGTTGGAAAAATGTCCAGTTCTATTTTAGACATGTTGAACTGGAGGTGCCTATTAGATTTCCAAGTGGAGCTACTGAGTAAACAATTGAAATATGAATCTGAGGCTCATAAGAGAAGACAATTGCTGGTATAAACTGGCGAGCTGTTAAGGTATAAATGGCATCTATAACCATGGAGTGGGGAGTGCTTACTTAGTTAACATGGAAGAGAAGACAAGCAGAGTCTATATATCAGTTGAGCCCTCTAATCCCAAGGCACTCCAACTAGTAAAGGTCAGGGAGAAAAAATATCCAGCAAAATTTATTTAAAAGGAACAACCAAGAGGGGTGTCTGGGTGGCTCAGTCAGTTGAGCGTCTGACTTCGGCTCAGGTCATGATCTCACAGCTCATGAGTTCGAGCCCCGCGCTGGGCTCTGTGCTGACGGCTCATAGCCTGGAGCCTGCTTCCGATTCTGTGTCTCCCTCCCTCTCTCTCTGCCCCTAACCCACTGGCATTCTGTCTCTGTCTCTCTCAAAAATAAATAAACATTAAAAAAAAATTTTTTTTTAAAGGAGCAACCAAGAAAAAGAACTTAAAACCCCAAAGAGCAAGGAATCCTATAAAACAAATCTTTTAAATGTTTCAAGAAGGGCACTGTCAACTCTCATTCCTGTTTAAGAGTCTGAGGGCTAAAAACTGACCACTGGATTTGGAAACATGGAGGTTAAGACCTCAACGAGAGTGACTTTGGTGGAGCTCTGGAGATGAAAACCTCCCACTCTGTGATCTGGTTTCTATGCTTACTGCTTTGGACACCATTGCTATTGCCACCAAATCTTATTTTGGGCTCTCCTATTGCATTTGAGGTTGTGATGATCATCACCCCTTCTAAATATCCAATCTCACGGATTTCTGTGACACTGTGTGTCATAGTTCTATTTATATCACTTGACCATTTATTTCATGAGCTGTTCTCACTCTTCATTCTAAGTGTTCTTCCAAAGTGATCTTATCCATTCTGACAGTTGGGACTACCATCCATGTCCCAGTCTTTATTGCCAATCCAGGCTTCTTCAAGCTCTGGACTCACATACCTGATAGCCAATGGCACTTTTATTTATTTATTTTTTTTAATTTTTTTTTTTTAACGTTTATTTATTTTTGAGACAGAGAGAGACAGAGCATGAACGGGGGAGGGGCAGAGAGAGAGGGAGACACAGAACTGGAAGCAGGCTCCAGGCTCTGAGCCATCCTCCCAGAGCCCGACGCGGGGCTGGAACTCATGGACTGTGAGATCGTGACCTGAGCTGAAGTCGGACGCTTAACCGACTGAGCCACCCAGGCGCCCCCCCAATGGCACTTTTAAAAAAAACAAAACAGCTTTATTGAAATGAAATTCACATGCCATACAGTTCACCCATTTAAAGTGTGCAATTGAATGGTTTTTAGTACATTCACAGATACGTGCCACCGTCACCACAGATAATTTTCAACCATTTTTGTCACCTTGGAAAGAAACCGGGTACCCTTCAGCTACCACCCCCTATCTTCCCATCCCGCTGCAGCCTAAAAAACCATTAGCTCCTTTGTCTCTATAGATTTCCCTATTCCGGACTTCCATATGAAAGGAATCATATAATACACTTTGTGTGTGTGATCGGTTTCTTCCACTTAGCATGTCTTCAAGGTTCATCCGTGTTGTATCATGTGTCAGTACTCCGTTCTTTTCTATATCAAATATCGCTCCATTGTATGAATACATCACATCTTGTGTTTCCAATCATCTGCCGACAGTTTGGTTGTTTCTTTTGGCTATTACGAATAATGCTACCGTAAACATTCATGTACAAGTTTCTGTGTGGGTTTATATTTCACTTCATTTCTCTTGGGTATATACCTAGGAGTGGAGTTTCTGGGTCACATGGTTAACTATATGCTTAATCATTTGAGAAACTAACAGACTGTTTTTCAAAGCAGTGGTACCATTTCACATTCACACCGGCAGTGTATGAGGGTTCCAATTCCTCCTCATCCTGGCCAATATTTGTTATCTGACTTTTTAATTTTAGACAGCCTAGTGGATATGAAGTGGTATCTCAGTATGGTTTTGGTTTGCACTTCTCTGATGACTAACAATGTTAAGCATTTTTACACGTGTTTATTGGACATTTCTGTCTTCTTTGGAGAGCTGCCTATTCAGATCCTTTGCTCATTTTTAAATTGTCTTCCTATCACTGAATTGTAAGAATATATGTTCTAGATACAAGTCCCTTATCAGGTATATTACTTACAAATACTTTCTCCCATTCTGTGGATTGTCTTTTCATTTTTGATGGTCTCCTTTGATGCACAAAGCTTTCTAATTTTGGTGAATTTATCTTTTTTTTGTTTTGCTGCTCGTGCTTTTTGGTGGCATATCTAAGAAACCTTAGCTAAGTCCAAAGTTATGACAGTTTTACCCCTCTGTTTTTAGTTATTACTTTTAGGTCTTTGACCTGTTTTGAGTTAATTTTGCATATAATGTGAGGTAAGGATTGAGCTCATTCTTTTGCATGTGGCTGTCCAGTTGTCCCAGCACCCCTGTTGAAAAGACTGTTCTTTCCCTCTGGATGGTTTTGGCACCCATGTGAAAAATCAGTTGACCAAAGATGCAGTTTATTTCTGGACTCTTAATTCTATCCCATTGGTATCAATGTCTGTTCTTGTGCCAATGCC